ACATACACATATTTTAGATATAATATATACGTAACATTAAATATACATAATATAATATTTGAAATTATTAATTATAACAATGGCTTCCAACTAACTTTAATAACTAACTCTAATATAAATTTATTTAGTGCTAATCAATCAATGATAGATATCACAATGATTGAAACACATTTTAAATCTTAAGTTAATTCTTAATATGTATATTAATTATGAAGTTTATATATTAAAATGCTTGAAAATTTTTAAAATATTAAATTCTATATTTTTCACATATATCGCTAATTTTTAAATATTTAATTAATGCTTAATATTCATATAATATATAAAGTTAAAATTTTAATTAGCACTTTACAATAATTTAAATTTATAAATATTTATAAATTATGAATACCTATACATAATAATAAATATATAAATAAGTAATTCTGTGCATATACCTACATGGAATTGTTTAATTATATAGTTATATAATTATCATACTTTCTGTATCTTTCTTTAACTTACAATTAATGTCATAGCTATTATTTATCAAGATTGAAATCGATTAAATTAATATTTATATAAATGATTTAGTTTGTATAATCTTAATAATTATTTGTTTCACATAAATATTGTACATATTTATTATAAAATTTATAACTAAAGCAAATGAGATTGCTAGAAAAATATTTATAAAACATAAATCGTATTTAATACAATTAAATGCAAATAAAGTAATTAAATGCAATAAATATATTTTATTTATATATTATATTTTTAAATACAAATTGTTAATTATATGCTACCATTTCTTCAAAATCCGTCTATCCTTTTATATATTAAGATGTTTTATTTATTTTTTCATTTAATAAGAATATTAAACATTTTTATTCAAATATTTAAAAGGTTCATTAAAAAAAAACATCTACATATACTAGCGTCTATAAATTAAAGTATTCAATTAAGAAAGCTAATAAAAAATTGTTAATAAAATGTAAGAAATTTGTAAAAGTATTATTAATAATATTACATTAAAATGAAATAAATTTATATTAATATCTAAATATCAAAAATAGATAATTTATTTAAATGTATATATATATATATATTAATATCCAGTTTAATTATCATATTTTGATTATTATAGATTATTATATGAAAATTTATTTATTCAGAATGAATGATAAAAATGTTTAACTGCACAGAAGTGGGAAAATCATTAACTTATTTGTTTGGAAAAAAGTAATTGTTACTGTTACTGACTAATTCAGAATTTAAAAATACATATAACGTGATAAACTCTTCAATGTCAGTTTAAATATTTATCGATTATATTAAATAATATGCAAAATCATAGAGTATAGAACAGCGTGTGAAAATAGTAATACTTATAAAAAGCATGCTCGATTTGTCGATTTGTGATCGGCAGAAACATTGATTTGAAGCTCTGACAATGAAAAAGAACGAGTGTCGAAGGCCTCGCGAAACTCGAAAGCGAACGAATCCCCCACCTCGAAATGATGAGGTGCTTAGAGGAGCGGCTTACTTGTCCCTGGGACGTGGTTATGAACAGCAGTCAGCATCTCGCCATCCTGAGCGTTACTCGGTGCTCCTTCAACCATTGTACAGGTGCGCGCGCTTTCATGTTCTACTAGATTGCTTAAAATCCGGTTTCAATTTTATCTTATTAATTCATTTTAAGTGCTCGATTTTATTGAAAGTGTGGATTTTTACAACTATCTATAGTGCTTGACAATAAATAGCCATTTCTTCTTCTATTCCTGCAATTTACTTCTCATTTGCTTCACTATACACCTGCTACTAATAATTAAGCTATTAACGTTTGGTCTTATATCCTGCGCATATTGTTGTCAAAATCTTTTTGCAAGTTACATTCTTTTATTATTTAATTTTTAAAAATTTTTGTTGCCTCACATATCTCCTCAACGTATTTATGTAGTACTTATATCATATGGATTATTTTGTGATGATAAATATTATCCAAATAACACGATCTTCGGTTTTTTAAATGTTATTCAAAAAGTTACTAAATGTTTATTAGAATTCTAAAAGATTTATTTTATATACTCGTAAATATATATAAAATCGTATTATTTTAATATAAATATTCATTTGCTAATAAATAACTATTTAAATATACATCAAATATAAATTTGATATATCATTTAATGTAACATATACAATAAAAAGGTATTATATTTAAGTTTTAATTAACCAATGAAAACATAACATTGTAAAAAATAACTTTTTTAACACTAGTTCTTACAGTTTTAAAAAATACATACCGATTAAAATGACGAAGTTTTCTAAAAATTTTCCTAACTGGAAATCAAATTAAAACCGTATTTTATAAAATTTAGCTCTGTGTGATGTAACATATATTTATGTTCTTCAAAAGTGAAAGTATGTGTCTTGTTCCACGAGTTTTTTGTAACTGTTTTAGATATAACGACTGTTACATTACGGTTAAATTTAATTAATAAAATATAAGTAAATTAAAAAGTATACCAATTTTTTATTCTTATATTTGTAACAACTACTTATATGAATCGACTTATAATATTGATATATTAATAATTTAGTTGAATGCTAGTTTTGAAAGAAACAAATTCCATTGATTCTAAATGTGTTTAAATCAAATATATTAATGATTAAATTTTATATAAAAATAACATAGGATATCTAAATTATTTTTTAACGATTATTCAGTATTTGAACCTATAGTAAAATATCATCAAATAAATTAAAATATATATTTTGCTCGTTAAAAAATAATGAAAGAAAATAATAATAATAATCTAAACAATATCTTACGGAATCCAAATGAATTCGATTAAAAAGTAATTAAATGGCATCCATATCAAGTCTTATTGCTTATGATTAATTGGAAATAGTTTTATATAAAATTTATATAAAATAGAATATATAAAATTATAATAAATCAGTCATTGTTATAATTTTTCTTAATATTTTATTCAAAGTTATTTAAACAATATGAAAATTTTATTATAATTCAAATTTGATGGCTTCCTACTTTAATTCATCAACAAACATTTTTTAATTTAATAATATATTTTAAACCTAAATTTGACTATTTTATAGATTCAATTCAAATTACAAAACCATATCTAAATAACAAATTAAATTACATAAATATATTAATTAATTTTAATCATGATCATAAAAATGGACACACGTTTTCTTAAATAACTATAATAATATAGAAATTTATATTCTTTTCCACTACGTGGAACTTTTGTACTACTGTGCTAATTTCTCTAAATATCTATATAATTTATATAAATAAATTGAAAAATATTGTAATGTATTTTAACTCTTTACATTATTATTATAAATAATAATTAATAGAAATTACTAAAATAATTAAAATAATTAGAATTATATAGATAATGGTTTCAGAAGCTTAGTTTAATAATGTTATCGAAATTACAATTAGTAATTGTATAAATTGTTAACTATAAATAAAATTTTAATTTTATATGCTTTATATTTCCATAAATATTAATTCTGTTCAGATAGAAATTTTATGAAAATATTGATTTAAATTGTATACAACTTATTTAAATTTTTTATTTCACGCGCATGTATCCAATATTCTCGAAATATTTTATATTTTACACAATCATTATTAAATCTTTTCTAAATAACATGTATAAATTTTGAAATTTCATAACAATAAATCAGTAAAAAGATTCATAGTACTATACTGAGTAATTTGAAAAGCATCTAAAATCGATCACAGCAAGAAAATAATATTCACAAAAAGAGATACAAGATGACAATTAAAATCGCATGTTAAGTATGTAAAAGAAATATTTCTATACCATCCGTGTAGCTTCTTATATTTTTTTTTGAATCCCTATTCAAGGCCGTAAACTCAACGATATGCCATTCGTCACTTATATGCCTGTACTGATATTTATTTAACTAAATATTTTTCTCTACATCATAACGCGTGACTTCACTTCTAAAGTTACATAATTATTGTGCCAATCTGTGGGTCAGACTATGTTATAAATTTCTATTGAATATATAAATTTATAAATTTATATAAATTTATTTCCTTTTCTTTTTTCATTATTACATTGTATATAAAAATATAAAAATAAATTAAGAAAATTGAAACTATATACATATTTTTCTAAAATTCTCAAAATTTGTTTAATACAAACTTTTAATCGGTTAATTCATGAGAATTAAATTATGATATTTTCCATTACAAACAATACATCTCACTTTAATTCATATTCTTTATGCAACAGTTTCAAAATAAATTTAATATATTTGAATAACTAACCCTATTTCTAATATTTATTTCAAGTAAAATTATAATTTTAAAAATTAAAAAATCCTTAATTACATTAAATATTAAACAATACATTTTTTAACGATAACACTTATAAAATAAAATTAATATGAATTACAAGTTTAAATGTCAATTCAATTATTAAGTGTAATATAAATTCTTTTCGAGGATTCATTCAAGAATAATTCAAGAAGAATTTAAGAAGCTTAAGTTTTATTTTTAACCATCATTGTATTTTTAAACAAAATTTCATTTTATTTACCAATAAATGCAAGTTTTACTCATATATAATCTTTTAATTAATTATTTTGAGTTTACATATTCTTATTTAATATTATAAAACTATTTGAAAGCCTAAAGAGAACTACCAATATTTCATATCTTTGAATAAACATTTTTCTTAAATTACATTATATTGATCATAGTTTATGTATTAACATATGTTATTTAAAAACTGTTACCCTGAAATTACATTTAAAAATTCATTAAATGATAAATGTTAAAATTACAATACGTGTGTTATAGAAAAAATAACTTTTTTTGCCGAGAGTTATATATCGAATAAGACTGTGAAAGCAAAAACTAATCAGCATGTTTATTATTGTAAGTTTATAAATTTTATTAAGCCTGTAATGAAAAGTGAAAGTATGTAAATGTAAAATCAAAATCAAAATATAAAATAAAATAGTAATTGAAATTATCCTTAGTTCCTATCTGCAGCAGAATGGGAGGTCAACAGCAAAGGGATATATATAAGTGCAACTTGAGTTTGAAAGCTCAAAACATAGCGAAATCAGAACTGCGGGAGGATGAACAGACACGTGAACACGCGCTCGAACAGTTCCGCGATTGGATTGAAAAACACCCGAGTATCACAAAATGCAGAACCGACGCCGTCTTTTTATTACGATTCCTCAGAACCAAGAAGTTTAGCTTGCCACTAGCTGAGGATATGCTTGAACGCTACTTAACTATAAGACAACTATATCCCGACTGGTTTCAGAACCTGGACATCGACGATCCAGAGATTGAATCTATTATTGATGCAGGCTATCTTGTACCTCTACTGCAGAGGGATTTCCATGGCAGAAAAGTTATCCTTTCATGTGCTGGTAAGTCATACAGAAAAATCTTTAAATGATTTATTTGCAATAACTATTATTAGCTATTGTTATTCTTATATATATATATATATAATTATATAAATCAAAGATATTTAGATAATTAATATTTTTCGAATAGTGACAAATTTTAAAAATATCATTCTCGAAATACTTACATATATTAGTATTTACATTACTATGAAATTATATAAATATAAGATACTTTTCCAAAAAATATTTTTTATAATTATTATTATTTATTATAGATTCGTTTTGTAATCTTAATACTAATTATTAAAAATAAAATACAATTATATAAATTGGTTTTTAGGAAAATATAGCTCTATTAGATTTTATTGGTAATACACATACGTCATTTTGTGATTTTTCAATGTTATAATTTTTATTGTATACAAAAATTCTAGAATATTTAGAACATGTATATTAGACGTTCAATTACTACTACTGTATTTACTGCTTATTTTTAAAAATTTTATTTATATTTTGTAATATTTAAACGAAACAATCTTTACTGATTAAAAATATTTATTAATTATATTTTAATATGTATAAAAAATATTTCTTCTATAAAAATTAAATACTTCTTAGAGAATTAAAATATGAAAATTATAAACATAAAATTTTATTTAATTAATTTTTAAAGAAGAAATCATTTATTAAAAAATAGAGGTAGGCAATTCATTAAAAACTTTATATGCGTGAAAATTTTATATTGTTTATGTGTAATTTATTGCTTAAAAATCATATGTAAAATATTAATTAAGGTTTTGTATAATATTAATTTATATATTTGATATACCTACTTAATCGCATATACTTATCACTTCAATGATAATTTTTAAATCGAAATATGTATTTAAAAATAAATTCTTTGTTCTTAAATACAATTTAATCAATATTTCAATTAAATTTTTTTCATTATTTTACAGTTTATTTAATACATTTATAGAATAAATTACATCTACAATTATACTACATTTTAAAGAACATAATTATAGAAAATTGGTATCTAATTTCTGTATATAATTTATTTCCTATTACTTATACTCTTATGCTGCTAACTTTTCTTTTATAGTGAAAGTTGCAGGTGAAACCAAATAAATATATCGACCATAATAGAAACTTTAGAGTAAATTCATTTTATCATGATATTCCGAAATTAAACAATTTAATAATAACAATGGTGAGATCAGAATAGATATTTAATATAGAATACAATAACTTACAAAAAATATTATTTTGGAATTTTAATATTTCTGTTTTAAAAGCAATAAATATCAAATGAATTTTATTAAATTCAATCGTGAATAATGAAGTTTAAATAATATACGTTAAAATATCAATAATTATTGTATTAATTTTACAATTGTTATTAAAATTAATTTATATAACTTATGGCAATTAAAAAAAAACTTTAAGACAAAGTATTAGCGTGTCTATTTGAAAGAGCTTTCTAACTGTAATGAATTTATAAAATTAAATATAACTATCCCAGTCATTTTAATTTCTTGATGCTACTATTCTAAAACTGTTTCTATTACTTACATACTTATTATTTTTACTTCTAAATTTTTCTCTAAATTTAATTTAAATTTGAATAATAATACTAATAGTAATTAGTTATTTTCAGGGTCATTAAGAAAATTCAATTTAATTTATATATATAAACATGAGTATAATTAGAATAATATATTTGTATATATAATTTTTTTAGTACTATGCATAATTCAAATATAGTTTAATCATCATATTTTGATTCTTTTATTTACTTTATATAATTAATTGTATATATCATTTTCTTATGCCTATTTTATTTTAATTGTAGAGCAAGTGTTTTATAAATATTTTTATTTTAAATATTTATAGTTTTAAGATGTAAAAAAATTTTTATTTTTTATTCTTATAAAATGCCAAATGTGTTATTGTTTAATGCACATTGCAGAATAATATATTAAATATAATATATTTTATATGTATATAATATTTTTTAAATATAAATTTTCCTCGATTAATTTTCTCTACCTTACTTTAAGCCTCATTTTTTACATACATTTCTTACATGTTTCGCTATTTCCTGCTAAACTTAAGGGTATGCTTGTTTAAATCAGGTCGCTTCGATCCATACAAATTCACGTCCGCGCAGATGGTACGGGTGCACAGTCTCGTGGTGGAAGCACTCATGGATGATGAAGAGAGTCAAGTACATGGATATACACACCTGAATGACGAATCTGGATTAACGATGGGTCACTTGAGTTCCTGGTCCATAAGCGACATACGCAATATGCTCGCCTGCATCCAGAATAGTACTCCTATGCGTCACAAGGAAACACACCTCGTTAATGTACCTGGCTGTGCAACTAAAATTATCGAACTTGCTCTCTCTTTACTTAATGACAAACTTCGTTCACGCGTATTGGTAAGGTTGAGACTATATACTTAATAATTATATTAAAACGCTACATGTAAGACTGGTGGTTAATAATGGACATAATATTTACTAGGATAATTATACTTTTTGTTAAAAAATTTAATATATTTACTGATTTTTATTTTGTTTCTTGAATAAAGAATTCTAAGTTAGACGTTAAAAGCACAATTTATTCATTCATCAATTCATTTTGCTTCTGTATATTCTGTACCGGACTCGAGCTAAATTTAAGTTCGATCTATTTTTTTCTTTCACTGTATCCACAATATGATTTTATAAGGGCTACTATTAAGAATATTTATTATTAAATAGAATAATACAACATACGAAACTGATTATTCTTTATCTATCTTGGTGGTGAAGATAGACTGTTAAGTACCTTACTATTTATTAATAAAATAGACCTGGAGTCTGGATTCGAAATGTTATAAGAATTTATAATAATCTACAGCAAATTACTTAAAGATAAAATCCTGCTTTTTAATATTAAAAAAACTTATATAACTACCCATTGATTGGATAATTAATTACAATATTATTTTTATTGAAATTTATATAAATATTATATGAAATTATAAAGATAAAATTAAGATACTAGATAATAAAATTAATACTAACCATAATAATTTTCTTTTAATGTGAAAATATATTAAATAAATATTAATAAATATTAAGTAAAACCAACTACTAACTTTTAATTGTAGATATAATAAGATTTCTTCTATAAACAAAATACTGTAAATTAAATTAAGCAGTTTTATTAATTAGTTTTTTATGAATAACTGATAGTATCGACTGATTTACTTGTTTGATTTTTTAATATTTATTGCATAACAAGTATAGGTATGATTTTTAGTAATAATTCGATATAATCAATACTATTTTACTTTTCAGCTTCATAAATCCTTGGGAGATTTACAACAGGCAATAGATTTAAAAATTCTACCGAAAGAATATGGCGGTGAAATACCTCTTTCAGATATGATTGGTAATTATGTAATTATTTATTATTACTTCTAACTATAAAAACTATATTTAATAAATCAATAATTCTATTAATTTATAATTCGTAGAATAAATTAATTTAAATTATATTCAGTTTATACGAATTAAAGTTAGTAATATTTTTATTAATAAACTCCATAATAAACAAATGTTACGTTATAAATTATGCGAAGATAAAATTTTTTTTAAAAAGTCAGATATTCATTTTATAAAAATAAAGAATAAGAACCATATCAAGAGTTAAATTAAATTTTTTTAATATATCAATTATGGTAAATATTTATTAACAATTGCAGTTATAGTTAAAAATAAAAATTCAAATATTATTATTTATATTATGCTACCAATTAAATTGAATATTTTGATTTCGCAGCTGAATTTAAAAAATCGCTACGAGAAAAAAGGGATTCAATCAAAGCCTTAGACGAAATGCATATAGAAATATCACCAAAGGATAGCTGCTCAATAACTGAAGGCCTTGGAGGACTTGCAGGATCTTTTAGAAAATTAGAAGTTGATTAATTGAAAATTTTTACTTATATTTACAATTATTTAGTTTTTATTTTATTATTCTGTTTTTATCCTTATTTTATTTTTTTAAACAATAATACAAGACATCTATAAAATTAAACTATAATGTTAAACTTATTCAATTACTGTTTTTTTTAAACATTATAAATTATATTGGGTATTAAATTCAATAAACATCATATATATTATATATAAATATATCGAAATATTTTTGTTTTAAATAAGAAAGTTTTTGTAGTGAAGCGAGCCAAAAATTAAAATTATAATGTTACTTAGTTTTATAATTTTATCGTATTCTATGTAAAAGTATTATTACGGTGGTATAAGTTACCTAAAGCTTGATGTCATTTAACAAAATCACAATGATTTACATTTCTGTGATTTTGTCATTATAAACATATTAATAATGTATATTAATCTTTACAATAGTTTTTTATTCATTGAGTTACTGGTCTCATAACTTTTCAATTTTAAATTGATAATTTTAGTTTTTAAAAGTGCTTAAACTTCATTTATATTTTTAATTACACTTTATAAATTGGGTTGACATTATTAAAATACAGAATACAGGTATATATGATATTATTATTATTATAAAATGCTGTTAATAAAATTATATTCAATTTTCTATTTCATTATAATATTTATTTTATATTAAATATAAAATTAGTAAAAAAACATACATAAGGAACTGAAAGAAATATATCAACTTTTGAAATGTAATGTAAATCAAATGTAATTCAGTCAAAATTAAAATTGGTTGTATAATATGTAAAATTGTCTTAAACATTAATAATATTTTTTATTTATGATAAATTTTTATCATATCTATTGACTATAGTTTTCATTTTGTTATATTTACTACTTACATTTTATCGCTCTATTAATTTAATCAACATAAGAATAATGCTAGAAATTTATTTATGTATATTTAAATTTTCAAAATAATATAATACATTTTTAATTTGAAATCCACAAAATTTAAATAGTTTTAAATCTTGCAATTTTGAATTTGCCGGCATGTCGCACCGTTAACATGTTGGGTACACAAGTCATTATCTTAATACTATTAAATAATGAATTATAAATAAATAAAATAAAATACATGTTGAAGTGAATAAATATTCACTAAGATATTATTTATTACTTCAAAATTGTTATTACTATTTAAACAAAATTTTTTTAAACCTTAAAATTCATGTAAAATGTAATATAAATCTAACCTTAAAAATTTACTTAATTAAATAATATTTAAGTCAAAATAACGTATATAATTCCATATATATTTTTTTTTAATTATAATTATATTATATACTTCAATTATTATTGAACGGATGATTATTACGTTCAATTTTTTAAATAATTAAAAAAATTCTCTATTTTCTGAACAAACTTACACATGGGTAATAATTGTTTTCTGTTTAATTCTGTAGAACATATAAATAATACAGTACGACATAAATTATGATAAATAAGACTTGTAAAGGGCTTTTATAATAATTAAAATTTTGTATATTTATCTATAAAATTGGAATAAAATTCTATGAGGAGAAACTTTTTTATTGTATTATTAATAATATATTATATTAACATATTTTGTCTTACAAAATTTAATATTGAAATCATTATTCATGTTATTTTTACCAAACCATTTATATAAAGCAGTTATAAACATTATGTTTATTCATTTCATTTTTGCTATATAAAATTTACAAAAAATAAATAATAGTTGTGGACTGTGTTTAAAATATATTGAAATTGAAAATTGATATATAAATTATCTTATTCAAATAAAATTCAAGGTAAAACTAGATTATATTTCTACATTACGTTTTGTTTAGAATTAATATTAAATAAGTTTTATTAATATTATAAAATTAACAAATATTTATTTGTTTTCAAAGGCATTTCCTATTTTTTATTGTAATACATTTTATAAGAAATATATTATACTATCTTATAATCAACATGTGTATAACATTACCTAAGAATGTATTTATTTATAGATAGATTTACACACTCATATATATATATATATATATATATACATATTTCAATGAGATTTTATAAATCAATTTTAATTATAATATACCAAACATTTCCACTTATATCAGAAATATAATTTTTTCATGTTTCTCGAATGTTACATTTTTGTATGACTTGCGGTTTAGCATTATTAATCTAAGTATTTATGTTTTTACACAAGTATTAATAGTCTTATTATTTATTAATCTTTTTTATAATTTCTAAATTAATGATTAGTAATATTTCGTTAATAAAACCATATAAAATAATTAAAATTATATTAATTTTATAAATTTGCTTCAAATCTGTCACAGTTATTATACATTACATAGATTACATTACATTTTAGAAATGCTAGTAAAGTAGCTGACAAAGTATGAACAAATCGTATTAATGTAAAACATTCAAAGAATAATGAATGTCTGATTTGTAATACGAGCTTTACAAATAACAATAAAAAATAATAAATAAAGTATAGAATAAATAAAATTGGGATAAAAGATAAACACATTAAAGTATAATATTTGTAAAATTATTGAAATGCTAGGAGAGTTCCTGTATGTATTACTCAATTTTTAGAATAAGAATAATATTCTTGGAGAAATGGCGCCTGGCAGTATGCAACTATAATAGCAGGTCGAGTCATAGAGTTATATGATTCGAATAATTACACCCGATTGGCGCCTCTCGGAGTTGCCAAATTTCTCCCCACAGATGCCGGTAGCGGCTACTCGTTACCGCGGGAGACGGATTCTCGCTCCCGGCGATCGCCACTCGCAGTTCGCACCCATTAGGCACGGACAGTATCCGCCTTTCCCCACATGCGCGTCTCTTGCGCAGCTCTGACAATTCGTGTTCTGTTAGTTGTTACTGTCCGATATTGAGGTGCGGAGACGTTGCTCCGGCAGTTGGTCTCGATATTTTCAACCATCGTTTATCAGACTTATGTGCTGATAGATGAAAACGCTAGATAAATTGAAAGACAAGTTTTTTAAGGTCGTGCTCATCCGAAAACGACAAATCTAAACTAATCGTTTTAACTTTGAAACTAGAGTCAAGTTGTAGTTTCCCGGCAAGAAACGAGAATTCAACTTCGGTAACGCGCGTTCAACTTTCCAGTCAAACAGTTATTCCCCTCTCCTATCGCTCTTTCTACTCTCTCCCTAAAAATATTTTATCTCCCCTCCCGCAGCCCCTAGCAGTCAACTGTCCCGACCAACCAACCATACCCTACCCCCATCTACATTGTGCTATATCTATATGCATATATATTAAAAATATATATATATATACACGCAAACACACACATATACACACCTATATAAATATATATCCATCTATATATATATATATATATATATATATATATATATATATCGAGCCATCAATATCTACGCGTATGTGAACGTTTGGTGTAAGTGCGCGTGTGTATTTGCGCGCGGATGCATGCATGCATGTGACGGGCATGTATATCGGTTTTCAAGAGTGACTCAGTTCGGTGCACCCGCGTACATGGGAAATAGGAAAAAGTGTGGAGAGAAGAATATCATACATTAAACGCGATGTATGAGGCCTCAAATTCACATTGTTTTCGATTATAGATTTTTATATGAGTGCGCACATGTGAGGACGTGTACGTGTACCTGCGAAGAAGAAAAGAACGGTGGCCCTAAGAAAGTGTTACTGAAAAGAAGGGAATCCGAGAGTTGGCTAGCAAAAGAAGTAGGTATGTATGTAGAGAAAGTTTGTGCAGTTTATAGGTGTTAGGAAGTGAATAAACCAAACGGAAACGAAATCGACGTGATGCTCCGCTTGCACACGTACAGTCGTATCCATTGCTCTCCATTGACAAGAGTGGAGCAGTAAATAGGGAAGAGGCGATGAAAATGCCCCCACTATCCAACGACGCGCATATCTCGATGTCTCGATCTCATCGTTTTCTCTCTGCACTTGTCTGCCCGCACCGTGTTCTCGTCGTCGCATGCATCCGCTCGAATTCATTGTCTGGCTCTTACTCTCATACAAGCTCGTGAAGATACGAGCTCAAAAACCGAAGAGGGAAAAGAGATAGCAGTCTATCCTGCACAACTTTGTCGGGGATGTCTCATCTTCCGGAAGGGACATCCGTTCGACAGATAACGCTCTTTTCTCTTGTCTTACCCCATCCCTCAACAGTAGATGCACCTCCAAAACCAACCCGTTATCGCGCTCCAACGTTCGCTCTAACAGCTGTGCAAGTGTGATAAGAACAAGCGGCACTTGTATTCGACTTCCTTCGCCGTTTTCCCAATTTCCACAGCTGCGATTATATTGTTTCACCACTATGTTGATCACAGCAAGCATTTTGTTTGTTTCAAACGTCGCTACATCTAATTAATATTAAAAATAAATTTTATGCATTAAATGTGATAAATCAATCGATAAAATATATTAATAAGCAATGCCTGAATTGTTTTTTATAAATTATCTATTTTTTTAAATTTATAATATATGTTTATTTTACTTTAATCGCGCATATTTCTTCAAAATAAAAGTGGAAATATTAAGAAATATTTTAACACTTGACTTTTATTATCAATATTGCATTTCAGATTCTTTTCTTATCGATCAACAAAATTATTTGATTTGATATTACAATATTTAAATAGAACTAAAAATATTTATTTTCAATAATTTCATTTTTATTAATTTATTAAAAATACGAATAAGAAGGAATGACGCGATAATAATAAACTAAGACGTTTAATGTTAAATTAAATGTTTTCAGGGATTGATATTAATTAGTAATGATTGATTATCAATCAGTAAAGGTGTTTCACGTGAATCTAGTAGTCATAAACTAAATTGTACAGTGAAAAAGTGTAGTTACTCTTGCTTATTTAACGTTATGACCGTATGTAGATAAAAATAAAATATATAAATAAATACTAAGCAAGAAGAAAGATATTTTTTAACAGAAAAATTTCAACAAGCAATATCTGAGAGAA